ATAATTATGAGATCTTATCTAAGATGTCATAATTACGAGAAAAGATGTCATAATTACAAGAAAATATCTCATAATTATGAGAAAAGATGTCATAATTACGAGAAAAGATGTCATAATTACAAGAAAATATCTCATAATTATGAGAAAAGATGTCATAATTATGAGAAAAGATCTCATAATTATGAGATAAGATCTCATAATTATGAGATCTTATCTCATAATTATGAGAAAAAATGTCAAAATTACGAAATTCTTATCTCATAATTACAAGATAAGTTAAAGAGGGTCAGCTGATTTACATTACATGAAAAGTAAACAATGACGGCACTATCACATTTTATATGCTTTTATTCCCTCTTACGTATGAAATATTGGGAAATATTGAGTTTACTTAACGTGGATGGTGTTGTACCGTTATCTATCGATGTGGGTTTATTAATCAATCCACCTGCACGCTCAATTCAGCTTCGGCAGCTTCGACACAAACATAACACCGTCATTTAGCTTGTAGTGGTGCTTCGGTTTCAACAAATGGATATTTCAAAATAAGAGTCCGATTCAGTACAGTCTGAACACAACATTACAGAGATGGCATGATGCTGTGTGGATGATAGTATATCGACATTACGCAGGTATCTTCCTTGCGGTTATTCAAGCGGAAAGCCCACTCTGACATACTGGAAGTCGCTCTCTTCCTGCAGTACGAGATGCTATGGCTATAAGTAGCTAATGCCTCTAATGCTTAAATTACATCCTGTATGTACACAAAGAGCAGAGCACACACTTCCTCCTGTTTCAAACCCTGGGTCACAACTTTGTTTAACTCAGGTGAATTAACATTATACAGCTTGTTCGGCATTACACACATACATGTCCAGGACCCTTATCTGCTCAAAATCCACAGGAAATAAGGATCTCGTAATTAGGACACATTATCTCATAATTATGAGATCCTGATCTCGTAATTATGACATCTTATCTCGTAATTATGAGATAAGTTCTCGTACTTTTGAAATAATATCTCATAATTATGAGATCCTGATCTCGTAATTATGAGATCAGGAGTCCTAATTTTTTTTTATTCGGTGAATGCAATGCTCTCCCATACAGTTCCCCCTTCGATCATAGACCTTTCATAAGCCCAGCTCCACCAGCTTACTCTTGGCCTTGTAGAGCTTGAGGAACCTTGTCAGATACCTTGACAGTGTTGTCATGGCCTACTGTTATACCTGATAATTTGACTTAATGTTAATTAAAGTTAACAGAAATGTTTGTAAATTTAGGAGAAATTTGCTAAGGGTTACACACATCTGCTGCTATATATCAGCTGAAAATGTCTAAAAAACTAAAATAAAATAAAGACCTGCTGTTCTTCTTGTCTGTTGTGATGAAAACTATTGGTGGATTTATCTCTGTGGTATTTATAATAAAAAGGTTTTAAAACTTCCTTTCTTTGATAAAATCCTGATCATCTAACATGTTTGTTTTGCTTCTATTTGTTGCTTTTGTGATGCTAAATCCTTCAACATATTGTGTTTTGGCGTTGACTTTTATTTGAACGCTAGCTTCTGATTTAAGGAGAGGATTTTTCTTCTTTAGACAAAAACTCAGACTCTACCACTTTCTTCAAGGTTGCTGTTCGTTGTTATCTGCTGTGAACAGAGTTTACCCAAACGTGTTTTCAGCATCACAGGACTTTGGGATGGAATTTTCTGGTGCAGTAAAACATTAAAGTATTGATTTTGAATCCAAACCTGAAGCTTCAGAGTTGGTGTTCAAACACATTTTGCTTTTTTAGTGCATGTCTTCGATTCTCAGCTCCAGTCAGACGCCTCATTTTTCAGCTCTTTTGTTTTTTGTCTTTGTGGGGAAAAAAATGTGTAGCAGCTCCAAAAATCTAAAGGTTTTTGTGCTGCTAACTGATTTTTAGTCAATTAAAATACTTTTGTGACAAAAAACTGTGTTTTTTGAAAGTTCCCTGATTTTAATTTAAACCCCTCGACTTTTGATCAGAAATGTAATCACAGCTCAAAATACGATTTAATGCTCAAACATTTTCAGACAAAAAATACACAAATTCTGTGACTTACTGCTGCACATAAAAACGTGTTATTACAATTTATTAGTTAAAAGAATTTTGATGAATATTTGCAAATTCTGTCTCTGTAACATGAAGGTGTCTGTCAGATTTTAACAGAATAAATAAATAAATATAAAACACAACTGTGTGACTGTGCACACAAAGGGCTCAAGGAATGATTGCAAACTTTAATTTTAGATGAAACCAAAAGCTGGCACGGCAGTAAAAAAAAATTTCCACAAAACACAAGAAACACACGGAGAACTCAGGGAGGACGACCTCATGTGGCGTTTCAAATGCTCAACTTATTTCTGCACTGAGGATACAAAGGTGGAGGCAGGTGAGGAACATCCTCAACACTGAACACAATGGGCCCGTCTTTATCAAACTTCTTAGAGTGGATTTTTAGACTTAAGTGCTGAAAAAGTCTTAGATTTGCTCCTACTCTCAGACTGAAGTGTAAGTGCCAGTTATCAAAATTCTTAAGTTTAGGAATCACTCTTGTTCTCAAGAAAAGTTCAGACTGCTCCAGAGGACCAAGTGGTTCAGAGTTGCCACTAAGGGGGTCTGAGATGGACTGAGGAGACAGAGATCACAGCTGTCCTCCTCTCAGTGTTAGTCTCAGTTACAAGGTGGAAAACAGGTTTAATCAGAAATTTACAAAAGAAACAAAGGTTTAAAAAAAAGGCTGCGCATAATGTTGGACTAAAAGGTGGATATCTGTGTTTCTCTTTTAGAGAAAATATTAAATATACTCAGCTGGTGAGTGCATATGCCCCCCCCCACACACACACACACACACAATTTTTCTTCTAAAGT